AATAAATATTTTTTAAATGATAGTCTTTTTTGGGGCGTGGGGGCGGCACCGGGCATCAAACTCAGGACCTTGCACTTGCCAGGCAAGCACTTATTCCACTGAGCTATCTCCCCAGCCCTAGAATGATGGTCAGGAAGTGAGAAATCGATGTATTTTAGTGACCTGAGCTCTTGCTCCTATTGTTTGTTTGGTATCAGGAATTAAACTCAGGATCTCACACTTGCCAGGTAGGTACTGTGCACTGATATCCCCGGCCATGTTTTGTTTTTTGAGAAAGAGTCTCGTTATGTATCTCATACTAGCCTTGAAATCACACTGGTCCTCCTGCCTTAACCTCCTGAGTATTACAGGTGGGTACCATCTGCCTGACCTCCTGTTAGCATTTAGATATATGCATCCAAGACATAATTTATTTTTATTTTCTCTGGCGGAACTGGGGATTGAACTAAGGCTCCTCTACTTGCCAGGCAAGCGCTTATTCTACTGAGCCATCTCCCTAGCCCCAACACAGATGTTTTAATGAAACGTTTTCCTCAGGTGTCCATTGACCTACATACTTACATTTTTTTCTCTTTTTCATCAGGAGACCATTAACACGGGCCCTTTTGTGATGCGTTCCACATGTCGGAGATGTGGTGGCCGTGGCTCTATCATCACAAATCCATGTGTGATCTGCAGAGGAGCAGGACAAGCCAAGCAGAAGAAACGAGTGATGATCCCCGTGCCTGCAGGTGGGCTCCCAGGTTTCTTGTGTCTGTGAGAGCAATGAAGCTACCATTTCCTGTGAGATGTGGCTGTTGGCAGAAGCTGAGATTAAGTCCTTAGAGCTTTGGTCTGGAGAAGGAACTAGAATCTTCTTGAATCTTTATTTTTGCACCAGTTATCATTAAATTGTATCGCTGTGCTCCTGCTTAGTGAGAGAGCAGCCCCTGTCCCCTGGTTTCATCTCCTTTGTCTACTCTGTTCAGACACTGAGGCCAGCTTTAACAGGAATGAGCAAGGAAGCCTGTGGCTGGTTAGTGGGGTCTCGAATTAAAAGTGCTGTGGGAGGTCCCACCATAAGTGCTCTCTTTGGATCTTTGGTTCTTCTAGGTGTCGAAGATGGCCAGACTGTGAGGATGCCTGTGGGAAAACGAGAAATTTTCATCACATTCAGGGTAGGTGCCTCCCTCCACAGGTTGTGTTAGCCCCTTGTACTCTTGGAGTAGGAGCCGTTGAGGTGCTGGTTGGTGTGGGGTAGGAGCTTTGTGGATACACTTCCCTTTTTCACTTTTTATTTTGAGAAAGGATCTCATCTTATGTTGCCCAGGGAGGACTCAAAACTTGCAGAGCTCTTGCCTCAGCCTCCTTCAGTGGTTGGATTACCCATATGTGTCGCCATGCCTGACTTTACCTGATGTGTTTAAGAGAATCACTGGACATGTTGGTGAATCCTTATAATCCCAGCACTTGGAAGGCTGAGGCAGGAGAATTACCATGAGTTCAAGGTCAACCTAAGCTACATAGAGTGAGATCCAGTCTACAAAGAGAAAGAGAAACAAAAAAAAAAAAAAAGAGAGAAAAAAAAGAAAGAACCTGGTGGGGCAAGGTGGACATGCTATTGAACCCAGTACCTTGGGGAGGCTAAGGTAAAAGGATCACTGTTAGTTCAAGGCCAGCCTGAACTACATAGGGAGACCATGTCTCATAAAATCAAAACAATAAACAACCCAAAAAAGAAGAACCTGAGTCACGTATATGAGTAAGAGATGTCTCAGTTATTAATTACACATCAAGGAAAGCAAGTTTTAAGAGGTTGTGAGAGGCCATCTACATATTTTCAAGAACATTAGATGGAGTTTATGTTATTTAGGGACATGACATGGAAGTACATAGATAGCTAAAGTGAAGTTAAGCTTGTAGGAATAAGCCAGGCTTCTTGGTACACACCTATAATCCTAGCACTCAGGAGGCTGAGACAGGAGGATCACTGTGATTTGGGGCCAGTCTGCATTACATCATGACACCCTGTCAAAAACAAACAACAAAAAAGGAATGATAAATACCAGGGTCAGGGTAGCAGTTAACTGAGGAACAGCAAGTAGGTTGCATGTATACCATTTTATTCCCTAAACTCGATGACGGTACATAATGTTTGTTACTTAGTTTCATTTTTTTTTTCCTTTGGTATTTTAGGGAAGGGTCTACAGGTTTTTCGGGGTCTCACTACTAGATTGGACTCATAGTGATTCTCCTGTTTACAGCCTCCCAAGTGCTGGGATTACAGGTATACCTCACCATGCCTAGTCTCAATTGTCTCAGTGCGCCCCAGGGGTGGGGAATCCAACCCCTGGCCCATGTGCCTGCTCACAGGCGCTTTAATCCTCTGAGCTATTTGGCCGGCCCTAATTTTTTTCTACAATGTAAAGTATTTCATAACTTTAAATAAAAGCAAAATGCTGGGTCTAGGGCCATCAAGATAGCTCAGTGGACTAAGTGCCTGCTTAGGCAAGCACAGAGATGGGGGTTTGATCCCCAGCACCACATGCCCATCAGCCCCACCCCCAGACATGCTGAGCAGGCCACCTAGACAATATGGTGGCACATGCCTGTAATTCCAGTGCAGAGGAGGCTGATAACAGGAGGATTGGTACAAGTCCGAGCTGTGTAGTTGGACCCTGTATCAAACACATAAAAATAAGAAGAAGAAGAAAAGCTGGGTCTAGTGTCCAAGTGTCTATAATTCCTGCTGCTACGAAGGCTGAGCCAGGAGGATTGAGCTCAGGAGTTTAGGAACAGCCTGGACAATACAGTAGTACCTTGGTTCATGAACTTTGCATGCTTTATCTACAAAATTTATTCATGATACTAGTTGCAACCAAATTGCAAGTGTATACGATATTGTTTGGTAAGACCATCTCAAAAAATGTGCAAGGTCTATGTTCAATTTGAAAAACCTAGACAGAGTTTAAAGATGAAGGCAGAAGGCTGAAAGCCAATCTATAAGAAAAGTTTGGTAATTGAGCTTCTCTTCCCATCTAATAGTAGAGAAAGAAGACAGAAAAAAACTAAAATATTCAGGGCAGAGAATACACAAAAATTAGTATTTATAAAACGAACTGAATTCCAGTGTTGCCATTAAGGGGTTTTTTGTTTGTTTTTTTGTTGTTTTTATGGTACTGGGGCTCAAACTTGGGACCTTGCGCTTGCCAGGCAGGTGCTTTATGCCACTAAACTACATCCACAGCCTCTTGTTGTGTTTTGAGACAAGTTCTCAATATATAGCCTAATCTATCCTTGAGCTCATTATGTCACCCCAGGCTGGCCCCAAAATCATGGTGTTCCTTTTGCCTCAGCCTCCCACACCTGGGTTTACAGGTGTACACCACCGCTGTCTGCTTAGTTTTACTTTTTCTTTCTTTTTTTTTTTT